ATGGTTTCATAGGTCACAGAGAATCAAAGAAAGCTGTCAACAGGCTGTACCCACTATGGAGGCTGTAGGAGAGAATCTGGTCTCCACTTGTCTTGTTTGTTGACAGGATCTAATTCCTTAACACAGTCACCTATTACATTTCTATGGCCACCTATTTAAATTATATCTCTATGATCTACTCCTGTACTTTCGTCTTCCACCAGTAAAGGCTCATGCAGTTAAATTGAAAACACTCAGGTAATCTAGGGAAATCTCCCCAAGTTAAGATCTTCGACTTAACCGTATCTATAAGTATCTTTGCCATTTAATGTATCATATTCACAGAGCTGGGAGATTAAGGGTAGTCATTTTGTACATTAGATTAGGGACATTATTCTTTCTACCACATCCTTTACAATCAAAAGTCACAGCAAACAGGTTTTTTTTATATTTATGGTACTGTTTCTGACAGTACCTTGAAAGAGATGGGTCAAAATTCTCACCACCATAAAACACATCAGTACTGTCATGGCCCATGATTGTTAAATATTACCAAGATCTAAGCTCTAAAAGAAAGTGTTTGGGTTTGGATGGGGGTTGCTTATAGAAGAAAGAACTCATAGTTTGGTACAGTGGGAAGTTCACTTGCCTGAGATTCAGATTTAAAGTCCTCGTCTTCCCTCTACACATCCCTGGTATATCTTCTGACACTGGATATATTACTTATATTACACAACTTTATTTCCTCATCAATAATCAAAGGCTAATATGTATGTTCCAAACTAGCTTCATGAACTGAATGTATACCCAATAGGTTGCTGATAACTCTCAATCTTTACCCATGGTGCCAATATAAATGTTGTCACCAAATCACAGGTCCCTTAGGTACAACAATCTCTAAACACCCTTATAAGATATTCCTAAAACTCTAAGGCTGCACATGTGCTGTCTTGCCTACCTAGTAATGTAAGCAAGGCAGGGAAGATAAAACACCCTAGAATGTAGTTGGACACTTCATACTCACTGTGCCGTTGGATCCCCTTATATTTTACAGCTACCATATGCAGCCACAAGGATGAGC